GGGCCGCTCCAGATTCGTCGTCCTCTGCAGTCGTCGGGTGGCCTTTCCATCCATTCAATTCCGGTGGTTCTCTTACTTCCTTAGCCTGGAATAGGAGAAGGAAGGGAAAGACTGGAACGTGTACAAATAGAAAGAGCAGGGGCCTGCGTGGCGCTACCGCCGCCTCGGGACCAGCGCGTGGCCTCACTCGATGGAGGTGGAAGGCGGTCGGGGCTAAGCCCCTGCCCCCTGGACGGGGCGATGCCCCCTGGGCGGCGTGATGCCCCCTGGGCGGCGTGATGCCCCCTGAACCGGGTGATGCCCCCTGGGCGGGGTGATGCCTCCGGAGGCCGCTGTGGGGCGGAAGGCCAAGGTCGCGGTCAGAAGGGGACTGAGATGAGCGCCCCGCCGGACCCAGCGGCACCAGGATTAGACGGGCCGGTCTGCGTCGCGTGGACCTGGGTTGTTTAGATCTCAGATTTCTGCGGGCAAAGTACATGTACTTACCGTCTACTGATAGAGTAGAAAATGTACTATGTTATTTTGCTAAAACCATGCGCTCTATCTCCAATTCTTCATTCATTTGCATGTGTTTATTTCCCAGATACTAAGCTTTTATTTCCCATCTGGTTTTAGGAAGTTCAGAGTATAGCTGTCATATTTAGAAAAAAACGGGGCGTGCTTATTTTTCCATTCTCTTTCCTCCCCATCCATTGTCTGTTGATCTGAATATTTAACCATAATTCATTTACTGTGAATTCTGAGGTTGTTTTCCAAAACACAAGCAAAAAAAAAAAAAAAAGGCAGAAGACTAATTCTCTAGAATTAGAGTGATGAAAATTGATTTAAAAAATCTACAGTTTTTATTTACGTTCACTGACGCACTTCATTACCACGTCAATTGTTTATACAGCTAGTTTGCATGCAGCGTTATAAGTCATGGGCTCCCTCTGGTCCATGGTTGTTAAATTGTGTTTAGAGAACAAAAACTTAAATGAGAAATAGTTACATCATATTATTTCCATTAAAACCATTTGCCAATATAATCAAAATCATTTCTGCCTGGTCGAGAGGCGGGACTGTTGTTTTTAATGCTAACTAACCATCATGAATGCTGTTTTAAATAACATAAGGGACAGCTAAACTGTAATCTTCAGACTCATTTAGACTTTTTCTTTAAAGTTTATCTTACATTTCATATTTATGGCTCTCCCCTATCCCCCCCTCCCCCCAATTCCTTGTCTGTAAGGTGGCACCATGGCAACACTAGTAGGTTCATGCTTTAGGAAAGTATGGTTTGGGCAGGAGACACCACATACAGCTGCGTAGGCTGTGCGCTGCACAACCACAGGGGGCACCAATCAAATGGACCGGGCTGCACTTCACAGAGCAGAGTGTCTCCAGGTAGTGGATGCAGTTACAGATCTTGCTTGAGCACCTTGAACAAAACCCACTTCCAATGGTCTGATACATAAGGGCTTGTTTCTCTTATGTAATAAAAAGCCCGGATGGCGTGGCCAACCAGTTCTGCAGTGCCATCAGGCCTCCCCCTTCTACCTTTCAGACAGTAATAGAGTGGAGCAAATATATCTGTAAAAGCGGCTGCCTAATCTGAAGAAACGGAATATGACTGGTGTTGATAAAATGATCCTGGGCATTTTGACTTTATACAAATAGAACAAAATCTTTAGTAAATTTAATTAAATGTTTCATAAAAATTAATTTAAAAATATTTTTAAAAGTCCGAACTGTTGTAATCAAATTATTTTGAAAATTAATATTACCACATTTTGACTTAGTATTAGAAGAAAACATCATTAAAATGTTGACAAAAGTCTTTTCTAGCCTATTTGCCAAAAAGGCTCGGTCATATTGGAAGTTAAACTTGTTTTGTTTTTACCTCTAAATCAACCTCTCGCGGGGTATAGGGCTTTTGGTGTGCCAGTTATCTGTTGCTACATCATATATCATAACCTAAAGCTTAGTGGCTTAAAACAAAACTGACATTATTTCTCACAATGTGGGGATTGACTGGGCGGCTCCAGATGGTCTCCCCTGGGCTCCCTCATGCACTTGCATTCAGCTGGCTTCACTGGGGAGAAAGGGTGGCTGCAGGGAGGGAGGTGGATGTGTCTTCTCCCCATGGCTTCTTCACAGCAAGGCGGTCTCAGAACTCCAGGAGCGCCCAGGCAGACCTCAAGCCTCTTGAGGCCTTGTTCTGGAATTCACCCAGTGTCATTTCTGCCAAGTTTGGAGGTCAAAGCAGTTCACTAGGACGGGCCAGACTCAGGGGGCAAAATAAACTCCACCTTTTGATGGAATGAGTGCAAAATATTACGGTCATGTTTTTGAAGTACCACAAATGGAAACCTTTTAGGATTTGACACATAATTTAAACTTTCCACCAGAAAAATAAAAAAAAATGCAGGCATATACAGTCTGTGTTATTATAAAGGAATAATGCCCTTCTATGTCACAAAACTCCAGATTACGACACAGCTTCTCTTAAATTCAATGAGCTACTTAACATGAATAAATAGGAATACAGTCCAAATATATGTACATATATCCATTTACACTACTTTTCTCAGTATTAGTTCTGTGTTTATCAAAATTTATGTTTTTATTCAACATAATGGGACCTTAAAGAGTTAAGGTCCAGGAAATTTGAATGTCATATTTGAAAGAGATTGATAATTTTTTTGACTTTGACAAATTCTCTTTTCTAGTTCTATAAGAAAGTTCTGATTTTAACTAGCCTATCACTCAACTTCTGATTAAATTCTTTTAAAGAGGGTAAAAACAAATTTTTTGCCTTTTTTAGTCATCGGTGGTTGAAGGAATTTTTCCTGCAAATAGGAAAGTCAAGTAGAGTTTTTGCTTAGTTTGGTTAATTATTAATAAATAAATGAGTAAATTAATTACTGTGTATTGAAATGCACATCAACATGAACATTTTCAAAATAATTTCACACTTAATAACTGACATATGTAATACCTTCTTGAAATATATATCTATTTAATATTATGATATTTGGTCACATTTCAAATGGTAGTTTAATGTGGCTAAATTCCAATTAAAATTAAGGAAGACTTTTATTTTATTACTTGTATTTGCTTATATGCATTTATTATTTGCTTTCAGAGAAGATAGAAATGTCATATAAGTAGGTGCCTGGCATTTCAGCCTATAATCTGTCCTTGATAAGATAAAAGCAAGACTTTCAAATATGTACACAGGTCGCATAAAGGAAGCCCTCAGAGGGTTCCTGAAATTTGAGAGGAACAAGGGGCTGCCATTTGATAACAAAACCCAGAGTCTGGAGAGAGGAAAATATCTTAATCAATGTTGTATGC